TTGACACGCACATCGAGATGGGAACTGTTGTGCGAGCCGGTGCAGACAAAACCCGGGCCCAGAACGCGAACCCTGAACGAACTGAAATTTACTCGTACCGCAAAGAACCCCTTCTGTGTAGACACACTGTTTTGAAAAACATTCTCAGTTTGAAACATCTTCTTTCAATAAATTTCAGCGTGTGAGTTTTCAGATTCCTGATTTTGCTTTTTCAGAAAACCACCCCAAAGACACTATTCTCCTTGTCATCCTATGTCCAGGAACGCACGTCGTCTCGTTGTATAGTTGACATAGACATATCTTGATGGCGATGCAGGTACTGCCGAGCGAGGCCGCAGCCGAGAAACTACCATCCCAAGCCTCAGATGAAATCCAAACCTTTCCCAAAATGTTGAACAAAGTGCTTAAATATGTATATGTATGTATATATATATACATATATACATATGTATATATATATATTATATTTATACATACATATTACACATGGTGAACTCATCTCAGCTCAATATTGGTGGTTCCGTTTTGATTGGGATTTGTGGCGTATGTGATTTTTCTTGGTAAATGATAGTCGCTGCATCCTCGACAGCGTCCCCTGCAGCTGTGCGGCTCCGCGCAATGAGTCGCAGCAGTGTCGCGTTGTCGCCTGGCACCTGTTTTTCACGAGCAATTCTGCGCCGAAGTCACAAAATACTCATTTATACCCATATTCAACTCTTCAAATTATTTGTAGATTGCGGTTGTTTGATGTTGCTTGAGTGCGCAGAATGTTGGACCATTTAAATTTGTAAGAAGTCATCATTGACGTTTTTCAGGTATGTAGACCCCATAAGACAACAACAAATTCGGATTCGATCGTTCAAGTTTTGGCTACCGCCGCACTGCATTCTTTTCCAGGAAACCCACTGAGGTCGCATGGCAGCCGATGACGGATGGTCCAGCAATGGTGACTTGCCACTGTCTTTCCTGACACAATGGCCGCATTGCGGTCGCATGCCAAACTCCCAATAGCTGGGAATTATTGGGATCCCAGAAAAAAATGGGGCAACATGGGCTACAAAAGGTGTAACACGAATCACTTGATGGCTGACCTTGGTCGATCTCCGGTTGAGGAAGTGGCTCCTTCTTTGGGGGCACTTCATGCAGGGCTCCAGCCGGGCAGTGTGCCAGGCGCCGCTAAGATGAAGCGACACTTGGATCATGCTAAGTGTATTAAGGTTTCGCCAGAGGTGGAAGTTGAGTCTGACATGGTAGGAGAATCAAATTGAAATAGTACGAAATGGATCGGAATGGTATGAAATCAATCGAAATCAATGAAAATCAATGACTAAAAGACCTAAAAAGTTCTTTCAACTTCTTTGGGTCATGCAGTTCTTTTGATCAGGGCACCGGTGCCATCGGTTCTCGATCATGCGACAGGGCCTGGCGCGCAGCAGATCTCCAGGCAATGCGGCACTGGAATGGAGGTTTCTAATGTTTCTAACTGGGAACGTCATAAAACATAATCTAGAAAAATGGTGCATTTTCCATCATTTTCCATAGACAAATGGTGCATTTTCCATCATTTTCCATTGTCACGTTTGATTACCGGAGGTTGTGATGTCAAAAAAAAGGTATTCATTTTCTGGCAGCCACGAACTCAATCTGCAAGCAATGCACCTTCAGAGGGAAACTTCACTAGCCCTCCAAGAGAAAGCCATTCCCTGGCACTGAATACGCCTACATCATTCACATGGGTATGGCTCAAAATTAAAGACCTGGATGACCACAGATTTAAGTCTCTGTTTAGTATCTGGTTGGTGGTTTGGAACATGAATTTTATTTTTCCATATATTGGGAATGTCATCACCCCAACTGACTTTCATATTTTTCAGAGGGTAGGTATACCACCAACCAGGTATTAATCATCCAATCATTGGGGTACCTACTTGTGACCCATAGCCACGGTAATCCCAAGGTGAGATGCAGCGTCAGCTGTGGCCGCCCATGCGGCCGGGAAGCGGCACCAGTGGCGCTTGGCAGATGCCGCAACGCACTAGGCATCGGATGGAGTTCAGGGTTGAAGACCGATATGTTTTGACATTGAAATGTGTTCAACTTCTTGAAAGGAGGCTGAAGTAAGTCGGATGATTTGGAAGTGGCATTTCTATTAAAAGATCATGTTGCACACGCATTTCCCATGCTACCTCAAAAGAACTGAACGAACCGATTTTTTTGGGATGTGAGATGTGTGACAATCTTGAGGAATCCCAAGTCTTAGACACACAGATTCCAGATGATTCCAGCACGCTTCTTCTATTCAGTGGCGATTCTGGGTTTTCGTTTCTTCTCCTTACCATAATCTACCCTCTGGTAAACGTTTACATAGCTATGGAAAATTGCCATTGAAATAGTGGATTTACCCATTAAAAATAGTGATTTTTCATAGCAATGTTTTCGAAACAGGAGTTGCCATTCTGGGGCGAACAACTCAAGCCCCGGCAGCCCCGGGCCAGGTTGTCACAGTCGACATTTTCGACCTTCGGTGCATCGCAGGCTGATGTTAGCGCGATACAACATCAGCAGGTGGTGTACCAGGACTTGCACATCAAAGCTTCAAATTGTGAAAATCAAGACTTCAAAGTGAATTTGCTGAAGAAGGTCTATCAATCAATCAATCTGTCTATCTGTCTATCTATCTTTCTATCTATGTTTCTATCTATGTTTCTATCTATGTTTCTATCTATCTATCTTTCTATCTATGTTTCTATCTATGTTTCTATCTATGTTTCTATCTATCTATCTATCTATCTATCTATGTATGTATGTATGTATGTATGTATGTATTAATGTAATGTAATGTAATGTAATGTAATGTAATGTAGTGTAATGTATGTATGTATTAATGTAATGTAATGTAATGTAATGTAATGTAATGTAATGTAATGTAATGTAATGTAATGTATGTATGCATGTATGTATGTATGTCTGTATGTGTGTATGTATGTATGTATCTATCTATCTATCTATCTATGTATGTATCTATGTATCTATGTATCTATGTATCTATGTATCTAACTATCTAACTATCTATTTATCTATGTTTCTATCTATGTTTCTATCTTTGTTTCTATCTTTGTTTGTATCTATATTTCTATCTATTTTTCTATCTACGTATGTTTCTATCTACGTATGTTTCTATCTATGGTTCTGTCTAGGGTCCTATCTATGTTTCAATCTATGTTTCTATCTATGGTTCTATCTATGTTTCAATCTATGTTTCTATCTATGCAATCTATCGATGTAATCTATCGATGTAATTTATCTATGTCATCTATCCATGTAATCTATCTATGTAATCTATCTATGTAATCTATCTATGCAATCCATCTGTGTAATCTATCTATGTAATCTATCTATGTAATCTATCTATGTAATCTATCTATGTAACCTATCTATGTAATCTATCTATGAAATCGATCTATGCAATCCATCTGTGTAATCTATCTATGTAATCTATCTATGTAATCTATCTATGTAATCTATCTATGTAATCTATCTATGTAATCTATCTATGTAATCTATCTATGTATTCCATCTATGTTTCTATCTATGTTTCTATCTATGTTTCTATGTATGTTTCTATCTATGTTTCTATCTATGTTTCTATCTATGTTCCTATCTATCTATCTATCTATCTATCTATCTATGTAATCTATGTAACCTATGTAACCTATGTAATCTATGTAATCTATGTAATCTATGTAATCTATGTAATCTATGTAATCTATGTACCCTGTATGCATATATCATACATTTAAACGTAGACCCTGGTGAGCATGTCCGCTGATCCGGGGTCTATCTTATCTTGTAAAAACATTAAAAAAACAAGCTGCAAGTCCAAAAATGTGGATCACATAGACCCTGGGGACACAATGACAACAATGGAAAATTGTCATAACATAGACCCCACAAGTTGCATTCTAAATTCACCATGTTTTACCCCACTAAGATGGGTTTTTACAAAAACTCAACATACCCCTGCAGTAGCATTGCAAGTAGGGATAGCACAGACCCTGGAATGGTATAAGGATCTATTTGAGAGGCTTATTACTCCCAGTTCAAGAAATTCCCAACACACCATTTCAGGGTCTATGTTTTCTTGTTAAAAAAGATGGGTGCCTGCAAACCCAAAAATGGGGATCACATAGACCCTGGGGACACAATGGGCAACGATGGACAACTGGCATAACCTAGACCCCACATGTTGCATGAAATTCTAACCTTGTTTTGTTTTACTCACTAACATGGACCTTAACAAAAACTTATAATACCTGTGCAGTAGCATTGCAAGTAGGGATAACACAGACCCTGGACTGGTATCAGGGCCTATGGTTTCTTGTAATAAAGATTTGGGTGCCTGCAAAACTCAACAATGGGGATAACATAGACCCTGGGGATACAATGGACAACAATGGCCAACAATGGACAACAGGCATAATAATATAGACCCTACATGTTGCATGCCAATTTCACCATGTTTTGCTCACTAACATGGACCTTTACAAAAAAATATAATACCATTGCAGTAGCATTGCAACTAGGGTTAACATCTACCCCTGGACTGGTATCAGGGTATATGTTTTCTTGTAATAAAGAGTTGCGTGCCTGCAAAACCCAACAATGGGGATAACATAGACCCTGGGGATACAATGGACAACAATGGCCAACAATGGACAACTGGCATAATAACATGACCCCACAAATTAATTTTTGTTTTACTTTCCGCCGACCCCGCTAACATGTTTTTCTCAACTCCTGCAGTAGCATTGCAAGTAGGGCTAACATATACCCTGAAATGGTATAAGGATCTATTTGAGTTTCTAGTCCAAGAAATGATCCATCTTGCCAAAACAGCATGTCGGAGTCTATATGTTTTTTGTTGGGATATATCTTTCAGAATGGCTTCCTGAAAGTCCAACTATGGGGATCACATAGACCCTGGGGATACAATGGACAAAACGAAAAACGAGCAACACATAGTCCTAACCATCAGGGTCTAGGTGAACCATGGGAGGCCTTCTTGTTGTTTGTGCATCGTCAGTTTCTACTATTTTTGGGTAAGGAACAGAAGACCTGTGTTTTGAGGGTTTGAGGGTCCATGTTAGGGGCCGTTAACATCTTTAAAGTCTTGCAAGAATATTGGACCTGGGGAAAACCTTGGAAGGGGGCACAAAAATGAAATTATTCTGGGGTACCCCCTGTGTTGGCCCAAAAAATGACTCAGAAGAGCCTTTTTGAATAGAGACTTGTGAAAAGAAAAAAATGACATTTTGGTTTGAAATCTGTAAGGGGGACTTGGATGGTACCATCCTTTGTTGTGGTTGAAGATAGACCAAGCATCTAGCACCCGGGTCTAGGTAAACCATAAAACCATAGGGAACAACTCTAACCAAACATGGGTATGATCTGCTTTGGGGACTTTTGTGGAATGTTTGGAAACCGCTTCCATAACTGGGCCAAAGATACACCACCCCCTAACCATCAGGGTCTAGGTGAACCATGGGAGGCCTTCTTGTTGTTTGTGCATCGTTAGTTTCTACTTCTTTTTTTAAGGAATACAAGACCTGTGTTTTGATGGTTTGAGGGTCCATGTTAGGGGCCGTTAACATCTTTAAAGTCTTGCAAGAATATTGGACCTGGGGAAAACCTTGGAAAGGGGCACAAAAATGAAATCATTCTGGGGCACCCCCTTTGTTGGCCCAAAAAATGACTCAGAAGAGCCTTTTTGAATAGAGACTTGTGAAAAGAAAAAAATGATATTTTTGTTTGAAATCTGCAAGGGGGACTTGGATGGTACCATCCTTTGTTGTGGTTGAAGATAGACCATATATCTAGCACCCAGGTCTAGGTAAACCATAAAACCATAGGGAACCACTCTAATCAAACATGGGTATGATCTGCTTTGGGGACTTGTGTAGAATGTTTGGAAACCGCCTCCAAAACTTGGTCAACGCATGCCAAAGCTACACCACCCCTACCATCAGGGTCTAGGTGAGCCTTCTTGTTATTTGTGCATCGTTAGGTTCTACTTTTTTTTGGTTAAGGAATACAAGACCTGTGTTTTGAGGGTTGGAGGGTCCATGTTAGGGGCCGTTAACATCTTTAAAGTCTTGCAAGAATATTGGACCTGGGGAAAACCTTGGAAAGGGCACAAAAAGGAAATCATTCTGGGGCACCCACCCCCTTTGTTGGCCCAAAAAATGACTCAGAAGAGCCTTTTTGAATAGAGACTTGTGAAAAGAAAAAATGACATTTTTTTTGAAATCTGCAAGGGGGACTTGGATGGTACCATCCTTTGTTGTGGTTGAAGATAGACCATGTATCTAGCACCCGGGTCTAGGTAAACCATAAAACCATAGGGAACCACTCTAATCAAACATGGGTATGATCTGCTTTGGGGACTTGTGTAGAATGTTTGGAAACCGCTTCCATAATTGGGCCAAAGATACACCACCCCCTAACCATCAGGGTCTAGGTGAACCATGGGAGGCCTTCTTGTTGTTTGTGCATCGTCAGTTTCTACTATTTTTGGGTAAGGAACAGAAGACCTGTGTATTGAGGGTTTGAGGGTCCATGTTAGGGGCCGCTAACATCTTTAAAGTCTTGCAAGAATATTGGAAATGGGGAAAAGCTTGGAAAGGGCACAAAAATGAAATCATTCTGGGGTACCCCCTGTGTTGGCCCAAAAAATGACTCAGAAGAGCCTTTTTGAATAGAGACTTGTGAAAAGAAAAACATGACATTTTGGTTTGAAATCTGTAAGGGGGACTTGGATGGTACCATCCTTTGTTGTGGTTGAAGATAGACCAAGCATCTAGCACCCGGGTCTAGGTAAACCATAAAACCATAGGGAACAACTCTAACCAAACATGGGTATGATCTGCTTTGGGGACTTTTGTGGAATGTTTGGAAACCGCTTCCATAACTGGGCCAAAGATACACCACCCCCTAACCATCAGGGTCTAGGTGAACCATGGGAGGCCTTCTTGTTGTTTGTGCATCGTTAGTTTCTACTTTTTTTTGTTAAGGAATACAAGACCTGTGTTTTGATGGTTTGAGGGTCCATGTTAGGGGCCGTTAACATCTTTAAAGTCTTGCAAGAATATTGGACCTGGGGAAAACCTTGGAAAGGGCACAAAAATGCAATCATTCTGGGGGTACCCCCTTTGTTGGCCCAAAAAATGACTCAGAAGAGCCTTTTTGAATAGAGACTTGTGAAAAGAAAAAATGATATTTTTGTTTGAAATCTGCAAGGGGGACTTGGATGGTACCATCCTTTGTTGTGGTTGAAGATAGACCATATATCTAGCACCCAGGTCTAGGTAAACCATAAAACCATAGGGAACCACTCTAATCAAACATGGGTATGATCTGCTTTGGGGACTTGTGTAGAATGTTTGGAAACCGCTTCCATAATTGGGCCAAAGATACACCACCCCCTAACCATCAGGGTCTAGGTGAACCATGGGAGGCCTTCTTGTTGTTTGTGCATCGTCAGTTTCTACTCTTTTTGGGTAAGGAACAGAAGACCTGTGTTTTGAGGGTTTGAGGGTCCATGTTAGGGGCCGTTAACATCTTTAAAGTCTTGCAAGAATATTGGAAATGGGGAAAACCTTGGAAAGGGCACAAAAATGAAATCATTCTGGGGCACCCCCTTTGTTGGCCCAAAAAATAACTCAGAAGAGCCTTTTTGAATAGAGATTTGTGAAAAGAAACAATGATATTTGCAAGTGTACAATTTACCTGAATTAAAAATTATATATTCTACAGTAATTAATTAGCATACCACCCCCTCATCATGCTAAATAAACAAAAACCCCGGTGAGGAACAATTACAAACCGAGGTCTACGTTTATTTGTAAAAAAACAACAGTTGCAAGATCAAAAAAACATAAAAAAACACTTTCGCTCACTAAGATTGTTTCGGGCCATAACATAGACCTTGGAAGCAGAGTGATTCTGAGGCCTATGTATTCAGGTAAATCATACAGGTGTAAAACAATAACACTTTCGCGCACTAACATAGACCTTGGACATAGAGGGCAAATTGTTCTGTTTTTTTGCTCTATGTCCAAAGTCTATGTTAGTGAGGGAAATTGTTCTGTTTTTTGCTCTTGCAACAGTCGTTTTTGGAAAATAAACATAAGACCTCAAAGTTGATTTTCTCAGTTTCGAGGTCTATGTTTGTTTAACTGAGTGTAGTCTATGTAGTCTATGTAGTCTATGTAGTCTATGTAGTCTAGGTAGTCTATGTAGACCATGTAGTCTATGCTGTCTATAATCTATGTAATCTATTTATCTAATTCAAATTCTCTTCTCTTCTCTTCTCGTCTCTTCTCTTCTCGTCTCGTCTCTTCTCTTCTCTTCTCTTTTATTCTCTTCTCTTCTCTTCTCTCTTCTCTTTTTATTCTATGCTGTTCATTCTATTCTATTCTATTCTATTCTCTTTCTTCTCTTCTATTCTCTTCTCTTCTCGTTCTATTCTATTCTATTCTATTCTATTCTAGTCTATTCTATCTCTTCTATCTCTTCTATCTATTCCATCTAATCTATCTAACCTATCTAATCTATCAAACCTATCGAATCTCTCTAACCTATCTATCTAATCCATCTAATCTATCTAATCTACCTAATCTATCTAATCTATCTAATCTATCTGATCTATGTAATCTATGTAATCTATGTTAATCTATTTTAATCTATCTAATCTATGTAGTCTATGTAATCGATGTAATGTATGTATCCATGTATCTATGTAATCTATCTATCTACCTATCTATCTAATCTAATCTAAATCTAAATCTAAATCTAAATCTAATCTAGTCTAATCTAATCTTATCTAACCTAATCTATATATATATATGCTCTTGCGCATGAGGGCACTGAGGGCACCAAGTAAAATCGCCCGTCGAGTGGGAGAGGACCTCCTTGCATTGCTGTCTGTGGCCTATGGCAACCAGCGTGGCGTCATCGAACAGCAGCGGAATCGCATGGACCGTTGATCCGTTGATGCCATGGCGCCATCCCACAGTGGGGTGGGAGTTTTATGGCTGGTTCTCAGCAACAGTGGGGTGGATGTTCTTTCACAATGGAGGCATTTTGCTGATATTGTAGAAAAACTCTGTTTAAACATTGAGAAATGTTGAATTGACACAATGTATCATTGATCAAACAATTCTGGTTGAATGTGAAAAATCTTTTTTTTAACTGATAAATGGAGGCATTTTGAGCCAGAAAGGATTTATTGCATCATTGATCAAACAACTTGACAACAGGAGACACCATATATGAAACCATCTTGTGTCTGTGGCATTTCAATCTGTGCATAACACCTGTGCATTTTGACCACTGCAATTTGGTGAGCACGAAATGGTTGGGCTCAATGACTGCAATTTTTTGTGGTGTTTTTTTCCCTGAACTAGCAATGGTTTGCTGGTGTAGTTGATGATGTTGATGTGTTCTGAAACCGCTGGAAGCAAACCATTTCAGTGTTCCACGGTTTGTCAAAAAAAAATTGCAGGACCGGCTGTTGGCCGAGTTCAGGGATTTACGACAGGAGCTTGAGGAGGACAGATTTTTTTTCGAGCTGCGTCCGGAAACACGAAAATGACCAGGCAATGATTTGTACCCTCTCACTACCCCATGGTTGGGAGGCATCAGGAAGCCAAGGAATTTGGTTGCCAAAAGCTGAAAATGCCTCCAACTCTTGGCGTATGGAGTACCAAACCGTCACCCTGCCCAAATGACAGAAACGGAGAAGTTCTCAACGCATCGCCTTGACTCCAAGGGCAAACTCCCGGCCAGTATCACCAGTACCGCTCTATATATATATAATTATATAGAGGTATATATAGGCTGTATAGCAAATAGCTGTTTCACCTTGGGGTGCTTCAAATCACAGGGAAGACTTTGATCATTTCGATTAACCTCCACCTAAGGAACACTTCTGGATTCTTGAAGGTCTTCAATTCTTGTGCAGCTTCATTCATCCCCTTTATAGATCTTTATAGCAAAGTTTCATTAAGATTCCAGCGGAGGGATTCTTCCAGTCACTCAAGGATCCAGAGCTGCAATTGCTCTATACAGAAGTTCGAAGACAACGCACCAGGGTGGCAGTTGGCTTGTTTCCCCAAAATGGGCAGTGGGCAGCAAAGGAGCTACAAGAGCCCTTACTTAACAAAAAATCATGGCATTCCCGAAAGCCACAGAGCTAAAATGTCACACAATGTCAATGCGCCAAAAGCAGCTCTTCAACATGTATGTAGGAAGAATAGCACAGGCGTATTCCTAGAGGCACTGCCCCATCAAACTTAAACATTAGACCCCTCCGTCGAAATTCCATGTCAACCAAACCACTGAGGGAAAGCAAAGGAGAAGAAGAAAAAATCAAAGAAGCAGCTGGGTTGCACGCAGGTCTTTACACTGTGCTGTCGGATTACGGACGGTGTGATGGGTCGTCCTCTTTGACTCTCTCAATGTTTGATCTGTGGTTCCACCAGGTCCTATATCAGATGACGCATCAGATAACCACCTGCTTTCCTTTGTGTTTGCAGGAAAGGCAAGAAAGAGAAGGCGCTGTCTCCGGGCTTTCCGAATTGTGTTTCTCAGAACAGATGTCATGCAGTGGCCCCAGGCAAGGTTTATGGTTCTTAAGGCTAGGATGCAGATCTTCCGACGAGCTGCACAGATGTGAAAAACATGAAAAAACATGCACATGTACAATATATCCGAAGCCCAAATTTGAACAGTGTGCAGTATGCATATTTGGGGTACATTATTCCAACAACAATCATTCCAATAATATGTGTGTCACATGTAAGTATACCATTCCAATAATATGACCTCAACATTGATAAATTGCTCAGGAGGCAAAGTCTGCTGAGAAGCAGAGGCAGGTGGCTCAGGACTAGGCTGGTGGATGCATATTGACTGGTGGTCTTGTTCACTGGAGATCATGCATAATACATTAAACAAGATATCTACTATATGTGTATTGGTTAAGTTCAATATGTATATTTATATATATATAATTTGACATGTGGTATATAAATATAAATATATATATACATATTCCAGCACATAAGTATGTTTTTAGTATATACAATATATCAATATTTGTTTTAGAATATATGTAATAAATTCAAATTCTACAACATATACAATAAATAGAATATAAACAATGTATGAAAAATCTTATATACGTTTTGTTATTTTTAGATATAATATTGAGTACATATTATGTAGATATATAATAGCGAAATTATATGATTAACATGATATCATACACTATAAAACGATAAAACATAGTATAACATTAATAAAATATACGATACAAAACAATAAATACAATAAATGTAGTTGAATATAACCCAAGAGACTATAAGAGATTATAATATAGATGGACAACAATATAACATGCGTCTAGTATAGTATACTATACTGTACTATACTATACCATACTATGCTATACTATGATGATATACTAAGATGTACTATGGGATACTACACTATTATATATTTTAAACAATAAAGAAACATATAATATGCTACAATATAAGTGCATATGCCATAATAGAATATAGTATAGTATAGTATTATATTCAAATACAATATGATACACTATAGTATAGTATAAACCACATAATGCAAGATAAAACATGTGAGTTGAGCTAATATCACATAATTCAACATAATATAATTTCATAATTCATAACAACACCAACTATTATATAGTATCATAGAATATGATAGGATATAATATGATATGCTATAATACAAAACAAAATTATAAAATACAATATAAGACAAGACAATATACTATATGATAATATATTATGATATAATTTAATATGATATGACATAAGTCAGTATTATATTATCAAAAACAATATGATATAACTTACTTCAATCTGATATAAGGTGAAAGAAAACAATATAATATAGTGTGATATACTATACAATACTAAACACTAAGCTAACATTATGCAATATCACATGATATAAGCTGTTTGAATCTCCTACAACTCTATACATGCACATGTTAATACACACGCAAACATATTATATTTGCATGTGTATGTAGAGATACGTACACATATTTGCATGTGTATATATGCATAGCTACACTGGGGGAAGAAACCTGTTCACTTTGGTTTTCTTCGCGGTGGAAAGGATATTCCTCTGCAGCTTTCCAATGAGGCCAGATTTATAGGCCTTGGCTCCGGCGTCATCTCTGCACAAGGCACTGGCTGTGGATTGCTTTGTAAGTCCTGCGGCGCCACCCAAGATTTATGCAATGGACCTTGAGGAGTAGACGTTTGCACTTGAGTGACACTCAGAAGTCACAAGATGTGAAGTAATATATTTGTTTCAGCATTATATCACCATATTTTCCCCATATTTTCCCCATATTTTTCCCATCTTCGGCAGTAAGCAGCGATCCCTGGCCCTCTAGGTGTGTGCGGTGAAGCTGTAGCAGCCGTGGGCTTGAAAAACAGCTCCGAAGAGCTCGGCAACTTTTTTTCACCATTTTTTGGGCTTACCCTCTGGTAATTTAACAAAGCTATTGAAAATGACCATTAATAGTGGATTTTCCCATGAAAAATGGTGATTTTCAATAGCTATGTTAAATTACCAGAGGGTACACTGATAGGAGTTCTCCACCTTTGTTGGCGTATATGGAGTATGAACTTGTCTCCACAACTTCACTAGGCTTAGTTTTTTTTCCACCATTTTTTTGGGGGGTCAAGATAGATGTCGGATTCGAGCGCAGAGAGCCATGATCCACAAGTGCATGAAATGGCACAATTGTTGTTGACATGGATTTTCCGCTCGTGCGCGACTTTGGAGATGTGGAGTCGTCCAAATTTGAGACAGAGCCATGTTTGGATATGGAAGTGGCACATGCTATTTTGATGTTTTATAGAAATCGCATGAATGTGGGTAAAACAACAATACACCACCCATGACTGGGAATGGTTTACATATACCACCTATAAAAATGGTGATGACTCGGGGATGGTAAAAATGACATTGTTTTAACCACATTATAACCACATTTTTATGTCATACCATTTTCATGTCATAACCACATTATGGTAAATTACATTATGGTTAAACATGATGGTTAACCACACTAAATAATGTCGACTAACCTCATTTTCAGCACAGTCCAAGATGGCGATGTCAGCATTTTCTGAACGAAAAAATGGTGGTTTCCAAAGTCATAGAGACTAGTTCCCTAGTTATCATCCATTAAAACAGATGGATTTTCCATGGTCATTTTTCCACCAGCGATTTTTCGAGGTACCCATTATTAAAGTAGCACTTCTGAATGTGTCAGTCGGCCATCCATTTTCGGAACCAACTAGGTTGAGTCAGCAGACACTACAGTCACTACAGGATTCAGCAGATTTTTTCAGTATGCTCCCGGCACAGAATGGTCTCTGCTAGCCAACTATCCAACTATCCTCGATGGCCACTCAGTTACTCGCTCGGTCCTTGAAGGTCCCACATAAATTCTGCAGAATTTTGAGCTGAAAAACCTGACCAACCACAACCAACAGAATTTATGACATGCAAACATCGCCACATATCATAAATACCATGAATACCATGAATACCATAAATACCATAAATACCAGGACTTTGGACACGGATCGATGTGTAATGTTTTTCATCAGCAGTTCCGAATGAGGAGAAGCAACCTTCACGGACGCAGTGCTCGCAATCTGTCGGCGTTAGTAATCATTCTCCGTTGTCTCACTCCATATTGGGATCACAAAGTGCAAAACCAGAAAAGGCGCAGTGAAGCTGCAAGGGGTCGGCAGTCTACGTCAAGACAGCTTCGAACAGCTTAGGAACGAAGAGAAGAAGGGAAGCATTGACAAATGCACAGATGTGCACCGATATGCACAGATATGCACAGATATGCACAGTATGTTCCAGATTTGCCTGAGGCGGGAAAAAAATGGAAAAACCTCAATAGCGTGGACTAGCTGCATTTCAACACTTACATGACCTCACATGTATATACCGTATATACCCCATCGTTTGAACGCAACCATTGGCGATCGGGTCGTGTTGTTGGTGGGTGACTGTGTCTTTGTTATTTTTTTTCCTGTGTTCTTGTCATTGCAGTCCTTCTTGCCCTTCTCCCATGCTTTTACGCGTTGCACTTGTTTCTTGAACAGTCTTGATCAAGTGCTGGACTTGAATTCCACGATATTTCAGGGCCTTGTGATCCGGGATAGCAGAGACCGCGGATTGATAACTCTGGGCTTATGGAAAGACTCACAGGAAACCCATGGAAGCCGACTCAACATGGGACAGCATAACCATGGTAAACACCATTGCTGGTTGGTGCTTTGGAACATGAATTTTATGACTTTCCATGTATTGGGAACGTCATAATCCCAACTGTTGCTCACCTCATCATTTTTCAGAGGGGTTCAAACATGTTGAAAGCGTTAACGTCCGTTAACCACCAAGCAGATTGTTTCCTATACATCTTCCCATCGAGATCATCCATGGATATCCATGGTTGGCCGCCTCACCTTCCAACATGCCCAGGCTCTTGAAGAGATCACCAAGTTCGAGTCCTTTCCAGTGACTTTGGTCTTCCAGGTTCCCAAGGCCCAGTTGGATGCTCAACGTTGGATAGATTGACTGGTTTTTTCATACAAAAAACGATGGACAATCACCATGTTTAATGGGAAAATCATGGAAAATCCACTATAAATGGTCAATTTTTCATAGCTATGTTAAATTACCAGAGGGTAGATTGATAGGGTGAAACTTCTATCCAACCTGGTGACAGATGGTGACAGAGGTGGCACTTGTATATCTTCCAAATGCTGCGGATGCTGCTCTTCTTCTGTCAAAGCTCAAGGCCGGAAACTTGGCGGGGTCCTCTGTCATCTCTCGTTTTCGGATGAGGAGATTTGACATGATTTGACCCATGATACACCTTGATCAAGCATGATCAAGCAACATGTCCATGTGAACGTAGAATGGTTAGCGTCCAGAAAGTCCTTTGTCGTTAGCTTCTGACCAGTTTTTGGACGTGTCCTGAAACCATGACTTGATGCTCCTTTACGGATCGCCGGCGGCGTTTCCTTTCCTCGGGCCCTTGGCGGAACGGCCCTTCTAAGAACAGTTCTGGGTGGTACCCTCTGGTAATTTCACATAACTCTGGAAAATCACCATTTATAGTGAGTTTTCCCATGAATAGCATGGTGATTTTCCATAGTTATGTTAGTTTAGCAGAGGGTATTTCATCTCCACGGTTTTTTTTAAATACATTTTTTCTTTATTCGGACCTCTCTTTTCCAGGAGAAAGAGTTGATACTACTACAGCCCATGTCGCTGGGAGGCCGCTATTGAACGGGCATGGATCATGAAGATGTGTGCTTGCCAAGTTTAGTTTGTCTCAGATCCCTTCAATACTGTGGATGGAAGAAATCCTGCACCAATTGGTAACTATTGGGAACTATAATGCATTGTAAATAATGGGATTACAATGGGATAAACCATCTATTAACTGGTGCAGGATTTCCTCCATCCACAGTATGTCTGGAATTGCAGGCCTTTTTTAACCTGAACATGCCATCAACATGGCCATGAAACCATCTACCAAAAGAAATAATTAAGCTCATTGTAGATCATAGTGTCATACAGGGTTGTAGGGGCTAAATTAATATCATTCTTGATGGCTTGTCGCTTCTTTGGATTCTGGCAGTATAAATCATGCAAATCTCGGCCACGGGGGTGGGACATTGATGGCGTTCTGGGGAAACTGCGGTAAAATTGGTGGGTGCAGTACCTCAAACTCATGGGTTTCAATACTGACTGTATCCGATTTTGGAAGATGTCGGGGGTCATTCAAAAAGAGACCACGAGGAGGTAGATTCTCTGCCAAGGAGTAGGCTTACGCCGTGGTGCTACTCTGCAGCTGAAGAAAGGGCTGAAGATGGAAGGAGTACAAAAGCTGTGGCATGTCTGAGCAACATCAACAAGTCCATGTTGAGGAACGTATGAATACGTATGAATATGCTAACTCCACTTCTAACTACATGTCATTCTGTTTATTGTCATCACCGTTCGACATGGTCACTATCATTATCATTATCCTTACCATTATCATTGTCATCATCATCGTCGTTGTCGCAGTCGTCATCATCATCATCACCACCATCATCATCATCATACTCATACACTCTCAGACTCATGCTCATACTTCTTAATGACTACAACCGTTATCTTTGCGGCTGTCATTGTTCGCATCATATTAGTAAATTTCACAACATCATCAGAGAAAGATTGACGAGGATATTTTGGACGTAAACTTCACAGGCCGTCACAAAACGTTGAACCCGGCACGATATCTCCAAAACAAAATTCGACACCCAATGCCCATTTGGATCTTGCCTTGTTTCTTTCGATTGCCGAAGATATGCCCTGTACTCTCGCAGTAGGCTGTGTGCGAAGGGTCAGGCAGATGTATGCAGATGCTTTATGCACACATGGAAAGCGTCGTGATTTATGCCTTGGTAGTATCTGATGGTACGCTGGGTGCTGCAACACAGCAGTCTGCAAGGAGATGTCAAAGATGGCATTGCTGAAGCACGAACCAGGTGCGGCACAGAAGGCGACCATATTGTACAATTGTATACATTTGTTGAAACTGGGGTGGATTGACGTAGACATTTTGGAATTGTTTGAAGAGTTTGCAGCATTTGCTTGATACGCGTATTTGCAAGTGCCACAGCACTGTCCGACAGTCAATATCAGCAAGGTAATTCACTCTGCATTCACAGCAGTCTAGGCATGGTTTGCAAATTTTCAGAGGAGAATGTCCAGGGTAGGAACATATTTTGATATATTTTGATATATTTTGATATATTTTGATATATTTTGATATATTTTGATATATTTTGATATATTTTGTTCCTGTATAGTTTGAGATCTGCCAAGATGTTTTTTTTCAACGGAGAGGACACTAAATCATCTGCCAGGATCTCGGGTTTCACCGACTTTCCAGTGGAACTGGTCTTCGAACTTCCAGAGGAAGAGACTGCAGAGGAGAAACCCAACATGGGTTTGGTGAAGTTGAAAGATCTGCCTGCTGTGGATGGCTACTCCAGTGCGGGGCTGAGAACAAACAGATCTGGACCCGTTTTGTGACAGAAAGTGGGGAAAGGAGTTCCAGACGGCAAAGAGGACTATTTGATGTGCCCGCTATTTGGTGCTCATCAAATGCAGTCTTGATGCACACCAACAGTCAAAGAAGTCAGTAAAGTTTGACTCCATATCTTCAACGTGTTTGAAGCACTACTTCCTTTTTTTTGCGGGCCCTGGGGGGTATCTTGGAAGATGTCTGATTTGTATTAGTGGCTTTCTGAATTGTGCAATTTCATGGTTCCAGACTTTCTTTTTTGATATCATGGTTCCAAAACAACTTCGTTTCTGATGTTTCTATATAGATGTTTCTAGGCTGGCATTTTTTTACGGAAATTTCTTCGGAAGGATGATGTGGGGCATATGACCACTGGTGTAACCCTTTATGTAACCCCTGATATGGTGCGAAAAAAAGCCGCTCTAATATATAGATAAAGTGATCATAGTGATCCAAATAGGGCACTAAGACTTTTTAATACTTTTTATATCCGCAAAGAGTTTTTTTCAGGGTGTCTGTTTCAGGCAACAGGCACTATTTTTTTGCACCAGGTCCATGGACCAATTCCCATGAAGCCGCGCCACGCAAGGTCATGGTATGTTTGCTCGTGAGGGGCGCATCCCAGAACCAAGCAACTTCTCGTACGAAAGGCAGGGAAGTTGAGGGGAGCTCAAACAGTGCCGGTTGAGGGAATCTTCAGCTCAGATAGGAAAGGCAGCTCAAGCCCGATCCCAATTTGGGACATTCCCAAAGGCACCTACTATGCTCTCAGTCTCGTGGAGGCATTCATATAAAACATTGAAACACAACTCATATCTTGTGTAATGTCCTACACTCCTACACTATAGTGCGACTTTTGCCGATAGTGACTGATCATTCGAAATGTATTGGTCAACCTTGGCCAGCGTCGGAGCCATGAGTTGCAACTGGGGAATTTTCGTGGCGATCTTTTTTAATCTGCTGTGCGTTTGTGGAGTTGGCAGATGCTTATTCCACACATTGTCAATTCTTCCCATGAGAGCTGCAATTCCTTTTCTACGTGTGCGTTTGTGGACAACGAACTGATCTTGTCGACCACGTAATCAACCGAATATAGAAGTATTTGCAACACTTGCAAACATTAAGCTACCCCATCCACAGCACAACATCAACCATGTACACAAGCGTTTGTGAACATCCGCATACCCCAACTTTAAAGTAGTAGCATCACACTCTGACACTAACGTTTACAGAAACAACATCCCCAGTGCGCGTTCAGTTCTCAGCCCGAAACATGCTGTTGAGCTGCTTTCCTGGCAGCTTAATCGAATCTATTTCAACCCAGCAAAAGGCATGGTCTTGGTAGCTGAAACGTGCTGATTTTGTTCGTCTTTCGAAGTGATGTACATACGTATTTAAGAGGCTTCCTCTCCCAAGAAGCTGGATTGGAGTGAACACCTGAGCCTATGGGGCTGGCCTGGCAAGTCACTATGTGACCATGGTTCACTCCCTTTTTGATCCAACAAACTGCCAATGCGATCCAGAAATGCGATTACTTGGCTCAAGTGGATGGTTCACTTGCATATGATATGTCCACATACTATACATATATATAGTATATGTGTACGTGTGTATATATATATATACATCATATAATGTGTGCATATATACATATAATATTTCATGTTTTTTATATAATTATATCTGTATATGTATAACACGTGTTTATGTATAATGTATATTATATAATGTGAATATATATATATATATACACATGTACATATATATATATATATATATATTCATTTCCCGGAAATCTCCGGAAACCGCGCGTGCCTTGTGTTTCTTTGTGCTTTTTGAGGCGTTCGGGGAAAGCACGGCCAGTTCCCAGCAATTTGGCCTCTTGGCTGATTCGTAGAGCGATAAGACAGGATCAAAACCACTTCGATTACCCTCTGGATCCTCTGGTTATGACTAACACTTCGCCATGGTTAAGCCATGGCCCATAGTTAAATAGATGGTTTACCGAACTTAATAGCATGGTGATTTTCCATGGCGAACTGTTAAATAGCCAGATGGTAACGTCTATGAACCATTTCGTACGCACTAGTAACTAGTGTGTAATCTTTAAATACTAAGAGTTTTAGCATCATATGAAATGTTTTTTTTAAACATTTCGACTTTTGGCATGGTCCCAGCCTATTTCAGGCCTGACCAAGCCAAGGATTTCAGTGCACAATTTGCTTTCACCGTTACCTTGATCCGCTGAGGAGGGCGTATGGTCTGATGTTGGAAGGCTCATCAACAAATTCAGTCCTGCTCCAAGGGAAATGCGGCCGGAGTTTCCCTTGGAGCGGCCGGAAGTTTCTCTACGAATTGAATCTATAGAATCTATAGCCGCTCCGAGTTTCACATGTTTCACAGTCTGACTTTAGCCGCTTTAGCCAGTCACCCCAAGAGTTGATGTAAACTGCATGGAGACTCTTCAACTGCACATTTCAAGCAGCTAAACGTGGACACAGATGAGAAAAATCCCCCGACATATCAGGTGTTGGAACCAGCACATGAACCCCAAGATTTGCACATTTACTAACTTGGAATTGGAGGTTTCCAATTAACATCAATTAACTAGGGGGTAACCCTAGTTATCATGTGTTATCATCCATTTTAGATTATTTAGAGTGGGATTTTCCATGAAACCATCCAGCGATAAATTGGGATATCCCCATTTTCCTATGGAAACCCCCAGGGAGCCGCGACCGGTTCTAGGTGAAGATCTGGGCCAACTCTTGGGTCAGTTGCTCCCCAACGAGGCCAGGGAGGTTTTTTTTCATGGGACTTGGTTTTTTTATGAGCTGGAAAGTGGCTAGATGATCTAGATGTGGTGTTTTTTTCAGTGTTGTCTTTTTTTTAAATGGGATGTTTGATCATGGGATATTACCCTCTGGTAAATGGTAAACTAACATAACTATGGAAAGTCACCATTTTTCATGGGAAAATTCACTATAAATGGTGATTTTCCATAGCTATTTTGACATAACCAGAGGGTAATATACAGTCTTTATACATCTCTTTTTGTGTTTGGATTCTCCGTTTTGCTGTGCTCTCCAATTGATCTCGATGATGCGAATCGGCATGAGATATGGGGGTACCCCCGTGGGGTACCCCCATTGCTGGATGGTTTAGTTCAGGGAAAATCCCAATCTAAAATGGATGATGACTAGGGTTTTTTTGTCGTTTACCCCCATGACTTTGGAAACTTCCACGCCCACAGATGGTCTCCAAGATTCTGGAGAAGAAGCCGCCTTTGACAGGGGCGGCCCTGCCACCAGGTCCGCCCGCCGGACCGGAGCTAGGATAAGCAGCTGGCCAAAAGTCATAGGATCGTCGGATAGTCATAGGCCCTACCCGAAATGGTAAACATAGAAAAAACGATGGGTTAAATCACAAGGAAATCACCATTTTTAATGGGACAGTCCACTATTTCGATTGGGCCATAAAGCTGTTTTTCGCTTAGGCGAGTTGCCCTTCGACATCTCCAAGCACCCTTCATGTCGACATGCGGAGAAGTCGCTCAGCCGTTGGTCTGAGGACGTGATGCCTTGGAGCATGCGTTCTGTGATGCGTTCCATGTATTTTCCATGTATTTTCCATGTATTTTCCATGTATGTTCCATGTATTTTCCAATGTATTTTCCATGTATTTTCCTGTTTTCAGCAGTTTTGACTTAGTGAGTCGGGTGGATCTTCAGCCGCTTTTAAGTTGACTCTTTAATGGACTTTCTACTGAGCTACTGAAAAAATCATAGCCAGTCCACCAGTCCAGTTTGAAGGATATGGCATTCTTCCGTGAACGAGCAGCCGGAACCACGCAGTACATGCTGAAACTTAAGGAGCTCGCTGTGGATTAGAGACCCATCGGGATGGGAAATACTGACATAGCTATGTGATGTATGGGCTGTATGGGTATATGATGGTATATGAAAAAAACATGACATGGATGGATGTTGATATTTGATGGATATTTCATGGATATATGATGGATGTATTAAATGATTATCTTAAATGATTATCTTAAATGATTCCCTTTCTATTTTTGCTTGTTCGCTGCATATTTTGCCATCCTCACCGTGTGTCACAGTGGGCAGTTCCAGGCTGGAGGAGAGTGGCCAGCCCTGGATGCCTTGTCGGGTCTGCATGACCAGATTAGCCAACTCAAGGACTGGCTCGGAGCGTCGGAGCTGGGACCATCCATCGACCATGGACTGGGCTTCCCTTGAAAAATCCTCGGCTCCCAGGGCTCAGATGGGTTCAGTGATCTTTCAGTCGCAAAAAATTGTGGCCGGGGCTGCTCTGGGCTGTGGATGAGTGAATCTGCGTCTGAAAGATATAAATCTCGGAAAGTTTGCTGTCGCACTCTGATTCAAGTCCCAAGTCATCATAGTCATCCGGTAGCCAATGGCCCAATGGCAGCCAGACATGCCAGGAGTCTGACGAAGTGGCAGTTGCGCAAGCCCTGACTGTGTGCCCGTTGAAGTTGAGGGAAACTGGATGGAGATTTAACCCCAAAGTTCCTGCAAAGCTGCAATGAGAAGCATGCAACGTGCCAGGCAAACAGCGTTGAAGTTCATGAAGACATGCCGCGGAATATGCGTTGATTATGAACAGAACTTACTATAGTTTAATATTAATTGAATATGGGTTCTATAGTAACTATATATAGTAACCAGCATATCAAAATTTGAGGGCTATTTTGTGTCTAAGACTTAGCAGCCTCCTGCCTCCAGGCTGCTGAAGGCAGCCGGCCATGTGGATGACTCGACCAGTGAGGCTCACGCACAACGCGGTGCTTCCCCCCCGTTGGTCCCCCTGGGGCTGGTCGTTTTTCGGTGGTCCATCGGGTGCCAGGAATGTTTGCGCTTCAGCTTGTTGCGATACTGTGGTCAGGAACCTGAGGCGGGGATCATGGGATCATGGGATCTCCAGACTCCAAGACTGGGCCCAGAAGGGGCCAAGGACCTGGAGGGACTCCAAAAAATGGCTATAAGGAGAGCAGACTTCTGTTTTTTTTTTCTGTTTTTTTGGCTAGAATTGGCTGTTCCACCTGATTCTGGCATATTCTGGCTAGAATTGCGTGCGCTTGGCGCCACACTTCAGGACTTTGATCCTTGATTTCTTTTGGGCGCCGGCAGCGGCATTGAGATGAATACCCTCTGGTAAACGTTGACAAAAAGCTATTGAAGATGGCCATAGAAATAGTGGATTTACCCATGAAAAATGGTGATTTTCCATAGTTACGTTAGTTTACCAGACGGTAATGAATTTACACTTCATGGCATTTGGATACATTTGGCATTATTTGGCCACATGGCTGCGAATGTATGACGAGAAAGAGAAAGCAACTACCATGATTGGAAGAACTTTTCTATCTTTGCATCTTCTACATGATTGTAGCGCAAAGCTCTGCGCTGCCAGGTGTGGTTTGAATTCCTCTTTGGCAGCTTCCTGTCTGGCCGACAGCAAGAGGACTGTGATCACTAGGCTTCCCATGATTCCCATGTCTTCCCACTTAGCAGCTTCTTTCAGTTCCCAAAGCACTTCAATTCAAATGATTTCTCATGGATGATGCAGTGTTGCAGTATGTTGTAGCATGGACTCTGAGTTGACTCATATTGAACATTGTGTCACCATCCTTGCTTTGCACATTGTTTCACTATCTTGCACTATCTTGCACTATCTTGCACAGAAAGGCATTCCGAAGCGGTGTAGCAACGGTTGGCACCAAACCAAGGGGCATTGCGAGAGAATCCTGCGCAGGATTGGCGTACAGTAAATCCCTTCTTGAAGGAGCAGGACAAGCAGAGAAAAAGGTAGTGGTGTCAGTAAACAAACAAAATACAGTAAGGAAATGTAAGGAATAAATATGTCGAGTTGCGAATGCTGCCTTCTGAAAAAAAATCAGAACGATACCTTGAACCTGTCGAGTAAGAATATACACGCTGTGCCCATACATGAATTGTCGCATGAGATCAGATTACCGACCATGCACTACTCGAGCTCCCTCAACAAAATATGCCCTAATCTTCCAAAACACGTCAAATTAACCTGGTTGGTGGTTTCAAACATTTTTTATTTTCCATAATATATGCGATATCCTTACCATTGACTTTCATATTTTTCAGAGGGGTAGGTCAACCACCAACCAGTAACGTATTAATGAGATAAAGGCGATGGATTGCTAGTGATTAATATCTAGTCTGCAGATGTCTGCAGGTTGTCAACCCAATTTTCAAGCATTTTTGGCTACCTGGGTTCTACATAAATTAATAATCGTTCTACGCTTTTATACGCTTTTAAATGTCCCTTCTACAGAAATGAATGTCCGTGCTAGGGTTTGTGTACGGTTTGTCTACATTTTCGGTTCTGACCACTTCCAACGCCTGATCAAATAATTACCTGGAGAGATGTAAATTCAACGTTCGCAGACCAGGGGATGGATGGGGACGTGTGGTCAACGAAGTTGAATGCACATTGTGACATAGTCCTGGCAGCCAGACAGGAGTTGCAGCTACTGTCAGATTTGGCTTCCTTGGCCACTAGCTGTCAGATGTGGATGGGGGGTTGTCATCACAACCTGCAGATAGCATGAAGATGCGGAGAACCTGCTTATGAAAGTTATAATATCTTACAATATGATTGAATATAAATGAATATGATATAATTGATATATATATATATATCATATAACATGATATAACTGATATAACATAATAAACAATAATATAATATGTTTCGATTCGTAATCAACGAGCTGAGAGATTCCCGAATGTCACGATGGCAATCTCCTCACCCAGGTGATGCTTCGCGCCAGTCGCCTTGGGGTTTTGAGTCGATCTTTGGAAGAGCTGAATCGCGTGCGAGTGCAGGCACTGATGGGACACCGCTAAACGTGCTAAACCTGAAGGTTCAGTAGGAAATCATGGGAAATAATCATCAAGTTAATAATTATTTATGTATCAGATTGGACCACTAGACGATTAAAGCAATGATTGTCTCATATTGTTTTATATGTGTATAACATATATATATATATATATATTATATTATATATTATATATTATATATTATATATTATATATTATATATTATATATTATATATTATATATTATATATTATATATTATAGATTATAGATTATAGATTATATATTATATATTATATATTATATATTATATATTATATATATTATATATTATATATTATATATTATATATTGTATATTATGTATTATATGTTATATATTATATTTTACATTTTATATATTATATAATTTAATTAATTATAATATATATATATATATTATATTATATAATTTATTTTGTTATATATATATCATATATATATATATATATTATATTATTTATATTGTATTATATATTATATGTTACATGTCAGATATTGTATATTATAGTATATATATATTTATATTATATAACATATATATCATATTACATACTACATTTTTTAGATTATATATTATATTATATATAGTTTTTTTTTTTTGCAAATGTAATATATCATATATTTTATATCTTATATATATATATTATGTTATATATATTATATATGATATATTGTATATTATATATTATATATTATATACTATATATATTTTTTCATATATCATATATTTTTTTGAATATATTATATATTATATATTATATATTATATTATATATATTATATATTATATATATATTATATATATTATATTATATATATTATATATATTATATATATTATATATTATATATATTATATTATATATATATATTATATATTATATATTATATAATATATATATATTATATAATATATATAATATATATAATATATATATAATATATATATAATATATAATATATATAATATATAATATATATAATATATAATATATATAATATATTATATATTGTATATAATCGATATATATATATATATCATATATTGTATATTGTATATTATATATTATATTATATTATATTATATTATATTATATATTATATATTATATTATATTATATTATATATTATAATTTATATATTATATATTATATATTATATATTATTTGTTTAGGACTGATTAAATGCGGATTGCTAGCTGAGTTGATTTCTTTCTTTTTTGTTCAGAATTTTGGTTTAGAATTTTTGGGCAGGGGTTGCAGGTTTTTCTTTCTTAAATTTTGGGCCGGGCGGGGGGTTGCTTGGCGTCAGGTTCAAGCTCTGGAGGCTCTCGCGGCACGATGTTCTGATGTCGTTTTTGATGGTTACGGGGCAGAGAATTGGTGTGTGAAGTTCTTGGACAATGGGTATATGAAGTGATACAATGGGTATATTTATTTCATGCACCACTGTCTGATTCCTTATGCCTATTTACGCCTTATGAATACGACTAGCTCTTCAGCTCGTTCTATCTGCAACGTACGGCTATTCGCTTCCACGCCAGTTCTCTTTGCAGGTTTCCTGAAATGGGGGTTTCCTCCCAAATGGGATTTTCCATGATTTGCCATTACAAACCATCCAGCTATATCCAGCTATTGGGGTACCCCCCATTTTTTCGGAAAAGTCCTGGCAGGGCGGAGCTTCCCTGGAACAACGCCGCTTGTTGCTGTCACAAGCATCGGCCACGTTGGCGCAAACCCTGCCACTCGGCGATCGAAACCTGAGACCTATAGGACTGGTAAACTGGTATAGGACTGTTTTGGAGGGTTAGGTACTTATTGTGAGTTATTGTGATATATACATATATACATACTCTATACATACCAGTATGTGGGACACCTAATTCACCTAATTAATTCAGCGGTTGCCTTGTTTTCGTTTCTTGTTGCTTCGTGCTGATTCTTCAGCGATGGCGCCCCTTTGGTATTTCTTAGTGCTGAAAGTGCTGAAAGTGTTGAAGAGATAGCCTGCATATGCCTACATGTTTCAATTACTTGGCTGTTGATAGGTCCATGTCTACGTTCCAATTTCAAGTTGGGATGCCGATGCGATGGAACAACCCCGAGGCGTTCAAAGCGTGCTTATGCCCCAAGTGACCTGGAGGGCAGCTACGATCCCCGCTTCTTGGCCTTTGAATTTACCAGGCTGGGTGGCCCTGTTTCAGTTTCAACGGTGACCGGCCCAGTTGTTTTTGTGTTCGGAAAGAAGATGGTACCACTCGGAGTGTATCAGTGGATGGTTCGGAAAGAATTCACCGAGCCTCACCGAGCCTCACCGAGC